CTCCTAAATAAAAGTCCCAATAAGTGACTTCTGTATTATCAAAAATTATTGTAGACTACCTTACGCTACGCTGCAACAAATTTTCACCGAATAGACGACTCTTTCTTCCTTACCACCTTATTCAAACTTGACTCCTCTCTTGACACCAATCCTTACCAACTTGAATCATCCAAAGAAAATACTACATACAGCTATTAGCCTTTCTAAAGCACACAAAAGTTTGTCAAAGATTCGAGTATTTCAAATTGTAATGTAAACTGACAATGAATCACTAATAAATTCCTTCTAGAGATTGATATGACTATAAATATTAAATAAAAAAAAATCATTCAAAAACGTTGAGTAATAAAATAGCATATTCGTCGTATATTGTTTTATGAGTTTCAGAAATTATTATGTACTGATCGGCGCTGCTGTCAAACAAACAGTAAGAATTGAACAAACAGTAAAGTTTACATCTATCTAATATGGTTTCAAAGATTCTGATTAGATTTTAGTATACAGTGGGTCCAAAAAGTATTCCTACACCCTTTAAAACAGGAATCTTTCAAAATTGGACCAAGTGACTTGAGTTTCATTGTGAAGTTAGAAGGATTAGTGTACCAAATAATCGTAGCAGCATTTATGGTTAGCCATCGGTATCCAACAGTTGGGAGTTAGTTGCGATATAGTTAGTGTTTTTGCCTACAAATTCCCAAAATAGGGCCTTACGACGAAAAAGTTATGATAATTTGCCAACGAATATTCAATGTTGGGCCTACAATTATTATAGTTGGTTAATTAACAGGAAATTTACGATGATAATACAACATCGGCCCACCCAAAGTTTTCCAACATTTAAATATCGTCTTAAAGACGTCAGAAACGTTGCTACAACCAAAACCTTCTTATTATATTTTCAATTGATTTTTTTGTTTCCTTATTTATTAATATACTCGCAATTTGTTACTGTTGCGCAACGCATTTGACATTTAAAATTTTGTGAAAATAAAGTCAGGGGACAGAAGATTGGAAATAACTTATAATAATTATTTGTAATAATTAGCTACGTGTATAAATTGTACATAATAAATTGTAAAGGTAACTTTGCTGGTAAAACACTTGTTTACCTGTTTAATATACATATACAATTTATACGTATGTATATAATTATTATAACAAGTAATTATTATAAATATTATTTCCAGTGTTATACTCTTTCAAATATTTTTAAAGGATTTTATGTAAGTGTAGTATAGCCAACTGTCTTCCTATTGTTGATTTATTGTAGATACTAAACAATTGGCCCTACAAAAAGAAACCTCCAGTTGACCGTTCGTAGTATAGTGACGTGGGCCCAACATTCATTGATGGCCCAGTTGCAAAAAAGGGTGACAATTCTAACTGTTGACCAACCAATAGTGCATGAAAGGTCCATCAAAATGCCAACAGTAATTGTTGCTAGGGTACGTGTTAACAAAATATTGAAAAAGTTGCAATTAGTCGGAATTGCGAAGAAAATAGGAAAGATCGCTTTTTGCGACTTTTTTATCCGAGATTCTAATGAAAATTTAACGAATACAATGTTTAGATTTATTCCGAGAAAACATTCCGTTCAATACAATGGTCGCATCCACTCTCTGCAACTGCAGATGTAGTATCTCTGAGAGTCTTGAGATGCTCTAAGAGACACACACTATTTTCTCCAACAGCTGAAATGTCTAGAGTCTAGGCCAGGGGTCGGCAAACTGCAGCTCGCGAGCCAAATGCGGCTCTTTGGGTAGTTACGTGTAGCTCTGAAGTACAATGAAAAATGTAAATACAATCAATGTGAGCAATTTTTCTGAGATTTTTTCTTCATTTAATAAAGGTATAATTAATATTATAACTTGTTATAATGTTACTTTAAATTTTCCTTATTTATAAAAATATATTTATAGCTCTCAAATCATTTTTAAATTGTTGTAAGTTAAATTGTTGACTCCTAGTCTAGGCCAACGACCTGTTTGAATGTGATGACCTCTCACCGACGTGCATAAGCTGCACTCCGATTCAAAAGCGCATTTGTATTGTAAGTTCCAGGTTTTATTGCTCGAAGATTCAAACAGATCAGACATAATAACTATCATAAGACATTGTTTTGGTCCATTCGAATTCCCCAAACAATTCTTAAAATATCGAAACGTATAAGGAACTGACCATATTAATGAGTCTATCCCTATCAGTGTAGTTTTAAATATAAAGCCGAAAAAAAAAGCTTGCAAAATTAATAAAAAATATTGCTTTTATAAATTAAGTTCAACTATTAATGTAAGGGTTACACATGAAAATATTACATTTTTAAACAATTAAAGTGTAATAAACATTTATCAAAGATGCACATTACCTAAATACCTTGCCAAAGACGTGAAGGAACATGTACATACTTAACAGAAGCAACTAAATAAATAATTGTCATGATTTTCATTTATATAAAATATAAAGTGTTGATTATATCATGAAGCCTTTTACTTTTATGAAAAAATATCAAAATAAGCACTTTTGTAACGTTTCCGTATTTTCAAAGGGAATCTATTAATACCGCGAGATTATAATGCATGTATGCGTTAATGTGACTGCTTGCTCCCTTGGAACTTGTAAACCTAACCTTGTTTTCGCTACTGAAATATGTATACAGAATAGTTTGCATATTTTATTTTTGCAATGAAAGGATCATGTTACAATCGCATAAGAACACCTTACTTGGAGACAAGAAATCGTTTGACGAGTTTAAAATTTAAACAACACATTAATTGCAGAAACAATATTTAGGACAGGCACATATGTACGTGAATGTGGTATAAGCACTTTTAAAAACACACGACTGACCCAAAAACATGTATTACCATTTTAATTTAAAAAATGATAAAAAATTGATATTTTAACTCGAAAAAATGTCTCGATAAAAGAATTTCTTAAACTAATATAAATTCAGATAATACATTAACATTATTAATTTAATATATATAATTATAATTATATTAATTATTATTTTATATAATACAATTCATTAATTAATTCATTAATGAGTATGTCAGCTTAATAGCACATTAATAGGGCCCAGCACCCTACCTGGGACATTTTGTATAGAAATTCGTGACATAGACTCGATGAGGTGCAAGGAAACTTTCCAAATAGAGTTCTATTGGGACATGGTCTCCCAAGAAAAAGTTTTATCCCAAGATACTCAGTTCGTATTACAATCGCTCCCTGCCAGCTAGTTTCTATTTTGCGGGACACATTATACGTGTAAACACTGATAAAAGAGATAAAAGTAAGAACGGTGGGATCCAAGGTACGAAATGAAAGATGCGAGCACAAATATACGCATACGCGCAGTGCATTTTATCGAAGTGAAACATCTATCGGGAAATATTTTATATAAATGAAAGTAAAATCCTGCTGGCTAGCTACATAGTCTTTTAATTATTCTTTCAAGGTTCCACGGGTTTCTGCGAATGTAACACGCCCAATGAATGTTCTACATTTTACTAACTATTTATTCGTGAGGTTTACAAATAAGAAATGAAATTCATACTGCGTTAATAATTTTATGTACTGACTTTGTAAACATTCTTTTTTTTTAGTAAATACATAACATCCGTAGTTTAATTATCACAACAATATACATATGGTCAAACTGCAGAAAAGCTGTCTGCCCTCCGATTTCGATCATTTTTGGATATGTTGTAAAATTCGACATTTTGAACAATTTTTTCCTATACATATAACGGAGGGAGTTACTTAGTTTCCGAGATATTCGCGAAAAACTGCCAGTACTAGCACATTGAATTCTACCTATAGTTATGTTTATTTACCTGCAACACAGTAACGATTTATTTTTAGCAGAGTTATTAACGTGAATGGACGTTTAGTGTGATAGAATTGCAAATCGATCAATATAATGCTTCAGAGTACTTTTTTCTTGAACTGTGTCTAATCAACTCTGAAACATTATACTAATCGATTTGCAATTCTATCTACATTCAGCTTAATATGTTCAAAAAACTTTAATTTCAATTGTCAAGCAATATGGAACACGATTATACAATATTATCGCTAAATTCCAGTTTAAAATTATTAAATTATACCAGCCTATCGTGTACTTCCATCGAATGCACTGCTTTTAGTTACACAGTCGTTACAATGACGAATACGCAATCAGAGAAAGTTGTCAGAAAGAAGAAATTACATGAAATTCGACACAAATGAAGAGTAATGGTTGTATTGAAAATTCAAATACGAAATTTTGTGCGGGAGGAGAGCATGGAGGATTTCGAAACAATAAAAAAGTAAAAAAATCTGGGTCACTGTTAAGTTTACTACAGTATGTATAGAATGAAAATTGTTGTTTATATGATTTAGAAACAATTCAATACTGTGCTATTTTTTATACGATAACGTTCTTGAGATATAGGAACAATATGATTCATAAATAAAATCGCAGAATTTTGTTTGCTCCTGCAAAATTGAAAAACCATAACTAACTATAAGAACTAAATTAGATCAGGATTACATTTACGTAAGAATAATTTGAAGTTAACAACGAGTATGTGAAGTTTAACACTTTTTGGTACAAGAACGCAAATCTGTGATGTTTCAGTGTACAGCAATTTGCTCTTGTCTTTTTAAATTTTTAATACAAGATTTGGTCATAAAGTCAGAAAATTTTATGTACCTATAAATCATTTATTATTAATCTGAACAATAATTACTTTAAGTTACCTTGAGAGTAACCTTCTTCTGCCCTTATATCGTTAAAATCTTTTTCTTCCAGTTCTCGAAAGCAGCGTGGTAAGCGGACGCCGGAATCAATTATTCTAGTTCCTCCTGTAATTTCTTAATTGCTGCCTCTCGCGTGGCGCAATGTCGTTCTTTTAGTACCCGTTTAAAGCGAAGAAAAAAGATGGAATTTTTAAAAATAAATCACAACTGGGGACAAAACATAAATTTATGATTGCAATGTGGAGACGAAGCATCACATTTCAGTTTCATATTTGATCGACACATCCCTAGTAGCAATTATTGTTGGCATTTTGAGGGGCCTTTGATGTGACTTGACCAAGCCTTTGCCTTGGAGAGTGACAATTCTAACTGTTGGCCAACGAATACTACAAGTATTGGTTGGCCAACAGTTAGAATTATCACCCTTTTTTGCAACTGGGCCAACGATCATACCCAACGTAGGCCCCACGTCACTATAATATGAGGGACCAACTGGAGATTTCATTCTGTAGGGCCAATTGTTGAGTATCTACAATAATCCAATAAGAAGAAGGCAGTTGGCTATACTACACTTACATGAAGTCCTTTAAAAATATTTGAAAGAGTATAACACTGGAAATAATATTTATAATAATTACTTGTTATAATAATTATATACATACGTATAAATTGTATATGTATATTAAACAGGTAAACAAGTGTTTTACCAGCAAAGTTACCTTTACAATTTATTATGTACAATTTATACATGTAGCTAATTATTACAAATAATTATTATAAGTTATTTCCAATCTTCTGTCCCCTGACTTTATTTTCACAAAATTTTAAATGTCAAATGCGTTGCGCAACAGTAACAAATTGCGAGTATATTAATAAATAAGGAAACAAAAAAATCAATTGAAAATATAATAAGAAGGTTTTGGTTGTAGCAACGTTTCTGACGTCTTTAAGACGATATTTAAATGTTGGAAAACTTTGGGTGGGCCGATGTTGTATTATCATTGTAAATTTCTTGTTACTTAACCAACTATAATAATTGTAGGCCCAACATTGGGTATTCGTTGGTAAATTATCATAACTTTTTCGTCGAAAGACTCTATTTTGGGAATTTGTAGGCAAAAATACTAACAATATCCCAACTAACTCCCAACTGTTGTATACCGTTGGCCAACCATTAATGCTACTAGGAATGCGTGCTTGTTCTCAGACGTGGCTCACCTTTCTTCACCCACTAAGGGCAGAGTAAAATTACCTTCATAGTGATCTTATGTAATTATTGTTAAGATTAATAATAAATGATTTATACATAAAGTCCCCGATCTTTTTGATAAGACATAGTATCGTAATCTTTTTCCTATTATTCGTATTTCGTCACTAATTCGTCACTGTTAATTAATGTAGGCGTTAACCCAATGAACCCGAATGACGAGGCACGCCCGCTTGCGCTTACTGGGCCTAGAACTCTAATAACAAGCTGGCCCCTCGGAGCGCAGAGGCTTACACATCTTGGAAGTATTATTATCTGAGCCTGTGTAACACATAGGGGTAGTTAAAGTGAAAGTCATTTGGGTTAAATAAGGCGTAGGAAAAAATACTTCAGGTAGAAATAACTTGGTATACGAATGATTTATAATTCAACTAAATCGGCGTGGGAATAACTTGATGTAAGAACCGATAATGGTGATAATTAGCCTACGGACGTTTATGCATTTATAGCAAATTTTAACATGCCAAATGCAGTAAAATAAAGACTTGGGAAATACTTAATGACACTTATATACTGCTACCAACATAATAATACATTTAGTACAGGAAATTAAATTTTTAGCTCATTTTCATGTTTATAAATTAATGTCTAAAATTCTGAATTTGCATAAACATCTGCAATCTAGTGATAATATGTTAATATAATGAACGCAGTAATTGCTTGAACGCTCGGGTCTCACTAGAACTATCAAAGCAGTCGAAATGACTGATTCGTAAATGCTTATAAAAATGATTAAAATGCTATAGCAGTGTATTTTTTTAGATTCTTTGCAACTTTTATTGCAATACATAAATGAAGAAGTTTGTTGATTTAGCGATTTGCATATTTTCAACAAACTGTTCATTTTACCAACGAGATAGAAATAGAAACACGTTCATTTTCGGTAGTTCTAGTGTCACGTAGACTATGGATATTTATGCAAATATAAGTTTTTATGGATTAATTTACAGAAACTGGAATCGAATAAAAATTTATTTACTCCATTGAGAGTTCTATCAAACTCCAAATAAAATAAAAACCTGATTGAATTATACTATACTCCATTTATTACAAGTACGATATTGTCTCAAAAATCTCGACAAATTTTTTCGAAATTATTGCGGCGTGAAACCGTATTTGATCAGATAATGACCATTTTTATAATCGGCTCAGACTTCGCCATGCATATATCATCAGACAAGGACATCAAAACGAGACATATCGTGACCTTAATAAGTAAACCTCGTAACTCCACTTTTGGGCTAATTTTGCATTTTAGTGTCACCCAAAGCACTAAAAATAAATACATTTTCCTAAATAATTCCGCAACTCCTGTAAATTAAATAAAGTTCAAAAAAACTTACTTCTTTTCTGTAACTTAATAAGTTTAATTAATTCTAAACTGTTTTATTGCTCCCCTGTAAAGTTCCGTTAAATGGAGTTACGAGTTTTACTTATTAAGGTCACGATATCGAAAGTAAATAAGATATACTTTAAAATTTTAAAACAATGCTAAACGTCGTATCTAAATACATTATCGATTCAATAGTATCCGGACAACTGCTTTTTATCTGACAGATTGTAATTTAAATTACACACAAAGGCCCTTTAAAAGATTAATTTTGTTTTTGTTATTTTAGCTACCTATAGCAAATATCTACGCCCTGCGATTGGTAGTCAACGTTATCGCGGGAACTCAGCTGGCAGACTCGCACTCTGATTGGTCGGGGTTTTTCATTAATATCTCGTTAACAAAGCCTCGGATAACATTTTTGCTAAAGAAAAACTTGTTTAAAATCACCTCACGAGTTTCCCATTTCCGGGTCCTCTAACATTTGTGTTACACCCTGTACAACTTGAAGAAATAAAATTAATATTTTTAATTAAATACTTTTTTTTGTGTCCCCATATGTGTAAGTATTGCACAAAATATATTCGAATAATGATTTCCACGAATAAAAAAAAAGTAATATATTTTTGAGGATTTTGTCAAAAAACGCGAGCGTTAATGAGTTAATGACTAGACTGGATATTTATATAAATTCCGGTTTTTATAGATTATTTTTGGGAAATTAGAGTTAACGAAAAATTTATCTCACTAATTAACCCTCGGACGTCCATGCCAGGTTTATTTTGACCAACGTTTTAGAGAGCTTCGTCGGACATTTCAGTTTACGATGAATATTATAGGCCGACGATTATTTATATTAAAACCTATAAGTCTTATAGTATAAGACAACTCGGGTGTACTGATGAAATTAATTCTATGCTCTAATAATGACAACAATTACCAAAGATACATGTGGAAAATACGTTGTGAATCAAAGAATATTTTATTGTGTATACAGAATAAATGCTCTTTAATTACTCGTGTTTTTTCCCATATTTTGTTGTTTATTTATATTCTGTGAAGAAAGCGATCTTTAGCGTTAGAACCGTCGAACCGTCGATACTAGGAGAGTTAAGAAGAGTACGAAATGAAGAATAAAGTAAAAATAATTCTGGTCCACGTTGAAATTTTGTTTTCATCGTACTTTACACATTTGATTGCGACGTTAATGCATACAGTCGGCAGTTTATTGGTTGCTTAATGCAATAGCATATGGAGGTAATTTATAAAAATTCATATAACATGATCTAAGAATTAATGAAATTATTTAAAACAAAAAGTAAGTAAATACAAATCGTTTGTACATTCACTGTGTAAGAAGAAATTGGACATAAACAAGTTAAGAGATTTGCAACATAATACTCGAAGTAAGTTAAATGTAAATAAATTAGTGCAGAGGAACTGCAATAAACGCGAACTAATGTCAAGATAAGTTAAAGTAAAAATAAACCAGAACACGAATACTGATAATTTATTTCAAAACAAAACTGAACGAAAACTTATTGTAACTCGAAAAAGTTCATACACAGTTAAACAACAGATGAACATTTTTCAAAATAATAAGTCATGAATCTTCAGACTTTAGACATGTATAAACCAATGTTAATGTACTTGAAAAAAAAACAAATGATAATATGGGCATAAATAATATTGCTGATTGAATAATCAAATTCTATGTATTCAATGACACATGACGTTAAGTTCACAAAGAATTGAGTGCACGATCAACTTCTCAAAGAGTATGCATAATTTTATTGTAAAAGAAGCTGTATGAGCGTTGGCGACAATTATTCCGTTCGCATAATTTATTATAAACGCAGTTACACGTGTAAAGAATTAGTAAATACGGAAATCTGACTTTGTTCGCAAACAAGACCTTAAAAATACAACACGAAATGAAATTTTTGCTTTACGAATACAATAATCTGAAATTGTAAAGTATTAAAGGTTCCTTGTATCGCACATTACTCGTAATATTCAAAGTTTCCAAGTTTCAAATTAGTTATTTTTAACACAAAATTCAACAAAAGCATATTCTTATTACAAACTTCGGTAGTTCAGAGAGATTATTATTTAAGTTTTAGTAAACAATTGTTACATTAAGTTGAATTAAATTAATAATATTATAGATAAATATTAATAATTTTATTACAAAAAAGTATTTTTATTTCATATTACTGTTAATGTACTGCAGTATTTTTAACTTATAGAATTTTTTATTATCGTTTTAAGTTTAAATAAAGTAAGTCAACACAAAAAGTATTCGTGTAATGTAGATGATAAATAAATTACTATTCTTTTGTAAATAGCATTTTTATACAGAAATATTTATTACGTTGATATTTCGTTATATTACTTCTTTGCAAACTTAGTTCTCGAATATTTATTCTTACAAAAGTAGTTATGCACTTCTTAAATTACAAAACAGGTATCGCTAGTCAGCAGTGTGTCTGTGCATAATTGATAGTCTATTCAGTTCGTTAGTTGTAGGTACATTAAAACAAAGGTATGTACAATAACAAGTCATTGATGTATTGACGCAATATAAAAGAAAACAATTCGAAACTTTTACTAATTCTTCTTATGATGCCAATGATAATATGATTAAATATAAACATGCAGATAACGACTCACCTAGTGCCAGTAAATTCGAGGACATATTTTTCGTTAACCCGAAATTCGGAATCCTTATATCCCCAGCCATTCCACTTCAATAATTCCTGCCTTGAAATATTTATAAAAAGAATAACGTTATTAAATGTATATTATCACTATATAAAAATAGTTAGAGAACTAATTTAACATAAAAAGAAAGAGTAATTTCAAATTGGAAATTATAACACTCTCGGCGCGCATTTCATACACCACGTGACTAATCGGATAACCAATCGGTAGAAGGAGCATTAACTTCTCAAATAGCGAGCAAGAACCCGGTAAATGAATCGATTTTTGTTGAAAAGTAACGAATTGTTAGAAAACAGGAACAGGAGAAATAAAAAATTTTACTAGTCTTGTTCCTTTATCGTGGGAATAAATTGTAACACATAAAATCACAAACACGAGCGAACGAGTGAATGTTATCGATCGATCTCTGTCTCTTTTATGTCTGAATAGTGCAAGGGGTGCTTTGGATTCGTAACATCTGCCGATGAGTCAGCTGGTGCTCGTCTTAAGGCGTGGTTACAAATAATTTAACAACGTTTACAGTGTCGTGAACACATTTCATGATGTTGTAGCACTTATATCCTATTCCACATAATAGCTAACACAAACCAGAAATCGCCGGTACAAGACTGACCTTTTTTGTGGTATGACACTCTCGAATCGGGTAGGTCCATTTAAACACTCCAAAACGTCGATCGTTCCCGTTTTCGTAATATTCGACATATCCTATCGGCTGCACCGCGAAGGGCCTAACCTTTCGATCTGCACAACACGACCAGTGTAAGCGTAGATGCTCGAGCGCGCGCTCTTCGCGGCAGTGTGTTGACTATTGACACGCGCACCGGCAAACTAAATTTAAATCAATAGAACCCCCGCCCTACGACTGCCCGCCTACCGTCGGATCTTCTTCTCGTGAAAGGAACCAATCACTTATACCCGGTACATTCTCTTGTTGGAAATGCCGAACGCTTTCCACCTACTAGCTACTACTAGCGGCAAGCCGATTCACCACGCTGACCGTTCCTTACTCACATGTCCCATCCTATGGATGCTATATTACGTCTTGCTAGATTGAGGGATTCTTTTCATGAAAGGGATTTCCCACGCATGCGCAGTTGCAGAATTAATACAAGAGACTCGTGAAATCAGTCCTATGTTTACATACTCATGTAATTACTGGTAATTACAAACACCGCAGTTTATGTGGAACGAAGTATCTGACTAGATGAATTTGAACCATTTTAGAATGTTTCAATACTATAAAAGCGTCGACTATCTAGAAATTAATTTCTTGGTGATGGATTATCGTGCTTAACACTTCATTTATGTTTCTCCTTATCCGAAAGTTTTATCTGCATAAGTAACCGATTCCTGGTGCATTACATATAGGTATATTACCGAATCATCGGACTGAAGTATCCCTCAATTTGTCCAAATAATTTGTGTGTTATTTATACTGTAAATTTTCTTGTGCTGTGAATTCTAATAAATTGCAGTTATTTTAATGTGATTGTATGTCTTTTATATAAATGTGTATATCTATCGGATCATTAACAATTTAATGAATAAGAACAAGAACTACAATTTAATGCACATATAAAACTCTTAAAATTAGATTTCCTAAATCTGTAATTTCTTAATTAGAATCTAAGTTTAGTAGTAATTGTCATTATAAACACGAATATCCAAAATAATATTTGTATTAAACTTTTATGTCAGTACTAAATAATTATCTCTTCATTTCTATAGTTTAAGATATTAATAATAAAGTATACACAAATTTTTTCTTTTATGAACTTAACCTATTGTAAATACGAATAACAATGACACTATTTTGTAACTGTGCAGAAAAACTGAGAGACGCTTCTACATATACATAACCGTGTCATAATTCCTATGTAAACTCGACTCACGTGGATATGGCGCTACATGTGAAAATGCAACCAAAATTACTTAATGTAAACAGAATACCTGGTCAGCCGAAAAAACGTAGGAAGATCACACTTGTATTTGATGAAAAAAAGAGACGGTAAGTGTAGTAAGATTAACTGATGAAATTGTAAGTGAAGGTTAGAAACACTATAATTATTTCAAACTTTCAAATACAGAGACTTTTTGAAGGGATTTCATAAAAGAAAAGTACAGCGGCAAAAGAAAGCTCAAGAAGAATTGCAGCAACAATTGAAACAAGAACGGAAGAAAATTAAACAAGAGGTAAATATGTGTATCAATTTTGTTATCGTAGTGATAATAATATGTACCATTTCTATAGGCACGAGAACGTTACAAAAACTTAGTGTCAAATCGAGACATTCCTGAAATTCAACAGTTATTGTCTCAACAAGAATATGAAACAGAAGGACATACCGTTAGCATTTTAGAATTAAACGTTGCAGATCTAACAGAGAAAGATACATTTATTGGGGAGAATAAAGGTATTAATGATGTAGAAAATACGAATGAAGAAGAGAATGATGAAAATTCTGAAGGTGATGAAGAAATTGTAGGAATGGCATTAGACAAAAAGAAGAAAATCAAAAACGCAAAACAAAGTACAGAAAATAAGCCAATTGACAATAAAAAAGATTTAAAGCGGGCAATAAAGAAAGCTGCATTAAAGCAAGTGAAAAACAGTAGAGTATTCCAACAAAAACAAAAATTGGAGCGTCAAAAAAATAAGAAAGAAAGTATGAGAAAGTTGAAGAGGGTACAAAAAATTCAGAAACGTAATGGGAAATTTAAAAAGAAATTAAATCATTAAATATTTTCAGACTTCATTTTTTGAATACTGTAAATAAACATAGCTTATAATAAATATTTTCAAAAAGTTATCTTCTTTTTCGTTCCATTTTTCACAGGAAATGGACATATATCTTTATTGAGGCATTCACTGCATTTAGGAAATCGTGGTAAACAAATTTCTTGCCCAAATCCAACAAGTAGATGATTTACCTCTTTCCAAAGATCTTTTGGTAACCACTTTTCCAATGCAATTCTTGTTTCTTCTGGTGTCTTTGTTGTCTTTTCTGCCCATTCTAATCTATTACAAATACGATGTACATGCGTATCTACACCAATGCCAGATACTTCACCCCATGCTATTTGCATACAAATATGAGCCATCTTTGGTCCTACTCCTGGCAAATCACACAATTCCTTTACTGTGTTAGGGATATCACCTTCATACTTATCTATTAAAATTATTGATGTCTTTTTAATATATTCCGCTTTCCTCTAAAATACATTATCATTCTTTTTTATCAATACTATATTAGTCATCTTAAACTAATGCTTTATTTAATCAGCCTAGGGAAAATTATAAACTTATTAACTTGACAAGAAAATTATACCTTCCAAAATCCAACTGGATATATAAGCTTTCCAAGAACATCATTAGGTGTATCTGCTATTGTTTCTGGAGTACAGCCATAAGTATTTAATCTTTGCATAGCTGCATGAGTAACTTGATCTTTAGTCTGACTACTAAGCATTAGAGCAATTAACGACTGAAACCTAGACACTTTGGCAGAAGCCTTCGGATCTGCACACATATGACATCCCATTTCATCCACAGGTGCTGTTCGGTCTTTTCGCATTTCCTTAATATTATTCAAAGTAATTTCCCAGTTTGCCGGTACCCAATTGCTCCCAATGTTGATGACCTCCTCTTTTACAATTTCATCTTTCATTTCACAATTTTTTACCTTGCTTTCAGTTTCTACTTCTTCATACTTTATTTTTATCGGTGTACGCTTTTTCTTTCTTCCTGTGTTTGGTAATATATCCTTATCATTAAAATACTTTGATGTTGTACTCGATGGATCTGTATTAACCGCTTTATTTTCAGATCGTAAAGATCTTGTTGACGTAAGAACATCAAGCTTTAATTTTTTACTCATTTTAAAAAGTTTATAATATGATGACATACAAATGTAATTTCTTTTTACAATAACGGTCGCCGAAAGTCAGAGATCGGCGCCATGCGACTGTTATTGCTTGACATCCAAGGATTAATGGTGAGTCCGCAAACAAACTGTTTTAAAGTGTTAGATGTTTGATCTAAACATCTGACAAGCAGGTTAAGCAGTTCAAACCCAGTTTGATTATGTTTTAATGATTAAACTTTTCAAACAATTTTAGGACATTTCAAACCAGACTGTCGAGCCTTCGAGCCTCTATAGCAGTGATGGGCAACTCAGCGTCCGCCAAACTCACTGGCGGTACGGTCGTGTATACAGGTCCGGACTCCCGTGGTGGGGGTGATCTCTCAAGAAACAAAGTGTACTTTCGAACTTTGTCACGAAGCGAGGGCACTACAGTCTTTACATCAGTCATGGACCTAGGAATTAGACCTTGCGCTCCGTTTTCTAATTCCTATGTCCATGGGTTCAGTCGCGGTTAGTCGCGGCATACCTTCCCTATGGCGCATCTATTCTTGTGTTTAAAACATGATGAATGAATAAATGACAACTAAACGCTTTGACAGTAGGACGTTCTTAACTTTTAGTTAAAGAAAATAATATCTGAGGGACAGAAGTCAAATATTCCACTGAAAAATATTTGTATATTTTGAATGAACGTCAAAATCATATTACTACGTGCCACGCTCTCTACTGGCAGTGCGTACAACTTGTGTTCCACACGGTGTATACGACTGTTTATACGACCATGCGCTGCATCAGCATGCGTTTTTGTACGGACGCATCGATTGCAGTGCTGTGTGGCTAGCGGAAGATTCATGAAACTTTTGGTCTTCATTAAGGGATCCCCTCCCGCTGCCTCCCGCCACGGGAGTTTCCGGACCTGTATATGCGACTGTATGCGACCGTGCCCCGTGGTGACCGCTGTGACCCTACTATTGAAACTAGGACTCCCGAATCCTCCATGAGCGGTGTTGCCACGTTGTTCAGCACGGATAGTACTAGAATAACTAGAGTCGGCTATGACGTGTTTACCTGTATCGATTCATCCCTAACCATAATACCGCGCAGTCTATTATACATATATGTCTATGACTGTCCCCGCCCATGACGCACCTGTGAAAGCGAGCGCGAACGTTAAAATTTAAACTTCATGCAAACTAAACATGCGCATAGCTGTAAGAACTACTGACGAATAAACGTACAATTCTACATTGTTAATTTTCATAGAAATGCAATGAATGATCGTATAAAATTTTGCCTGCATTACTAAACTTATACATTCAATATGCATAGTTTATATTCTAAAAATCAGTCAGAGGAAAACTATAGGATCACAATTTTTTTTCTTAATTATTTATTTTTCTTATATAATGAGAATATTTGAGTACATAAATGATTGCATAATTATTTCACTAATATACATATAGCTTGGATTTTACACAACTGTTGAAAGAGTAATATCAGATACATACTCATTTTATGATAGCATTGAATCCAGATAAACTTTTCAGATTTTTTTGACCATCTTAAAAATACACTCATTCAGTAATTCTCATAAACAAGTAAAGCAGTCCACATTTTTTATAAAAGTTATGTTTTATTGAATATAACAAACTTATAAAATTAAATGATGTGAGTACTTGTAAATTATTATATAATATTTTATGTGTATGATAAAAATTGGTCTTTTATCATAAATGCAATTTTGATATGAAATAAAATTATATCTACATATAAATAAAAATGTTTACTTAGATATACATTAATAATATTTCCAAATTTGTTGCTGGCAATTAGTACACCTTCAATGTAGATTACCTTATATGTACACAATATGACCCAGTCTCAATAGATTCATGGGAAAACAGTAAAACAGAGTCCAAAATTCCATCAAAGGATTAAAATATTTATATTATAAAAGATTTACCTGTAGTAGTTTAATAGGCATACATCTTAATTAAATTGTATGCAATTAGGTGTATCAAATATAAATAACGTAAGTATAAAGATAGTAAAGTAATATAACAAAAATTGTGCAGTGCATTCCCTTCACTGCCCCACTTCACACTCATTTTATCTTAATTTCAAAAGATAAGTGTGCATTGTATCGCATTTTATGTATGTTATCCTAATATGTACATGTTCATTTAGTTTGCTAATACAGCTCATTCTTCTACATACACATATGGATGAGCAAACATTTTGTTATGTATATTGTCAATCACACTTAATGCCGCCATTACATTCAATTTGGACAGAATTGAATACTATTTATTTATACATCATTTATAACTACTCTTTTCTTAAAACCAATACCATATTAATATAACTTACTATTATACCAAAAACATTGATATTACTATTGAACATGCTATGCATTTATATAATCATAATAATGACAATAATTTTTGAAAAATATCTTACATCGTACTTTAGACCATTTTATTTGAATGTTTCTAGCATCTGGATTCAATGCTTATCTAACATATCACCAACAATAATGGACGGAGTGGAGGAATGCATAGATAAAAGTAGAAGGATCAAATTTAAGGCTAACAGAAGTATGGAAATAGAGACCTTACATTAGTACTTGTGCTCATATTCTATAGAAATAAAACTTTTTACATTTTAAAACTAAGCAAGCAATAATTCAAACGAATTTACAAGACTGATACTAATTAAAATTGCTATTAAAGGTTAGAGTCAAAAAAGGGGTCAATATTTTGTTCATACAAAAATCAAGTAAGTGGCAAAATGGCAGGGACTGCAATTCAGGTTGGTTCGCATGAAATTAAAACAGGGCCCTTCTTGTGTATTCTTACTACACATTGATGCAATTAACCTTTTTACTCAACCTGGAATTTGATTAGCGATAGTATTAGGGCCGATAGAAACAGTTGGAGGAATCGTAGAATCCTGCATTAGAGTACGAGTCTCTTCTTCTTGATCAGAAAGGGGTATCGCCGGAGTGTCATGCGAACTTGACTGCTTCAGCTTTAGGTGACTCGGCAGCTCCGTGAGTACTGGCCCGTACTGCGAAGTGGAACCCACCAGCAAGTCAGTCGATGGATTCAAACCGCCCAACATCTTTCCTCATAGCAACGCGTATATAAGATAAAGAAACGAACGTACGAACCAGAGCATGGAGAGCATCCGGTAAATAAAACCAAAATCAAAATATATGCCTTTAAGAAAAATGTTTTGCCTACCTGACCACTACTTCCAACCATTCCACTTCTTGGAGATTTGCCACGGCGAACGAAGCGAAGCCAAGCCCAAATAAAGCCTAACAGCAGTCCGACCAGCATCATACCAGCACCTAATGCTATAGAACCTTTTGCAGCATCTTCAACGTGTTCTTCTACATTTGTTGTTGATGTTGTTGGATGGTCATCCAGCTTTATCTATAACCATTTTTTATCTTAGCTACATATATACATCATAAAACTATGCACATATACTTATAAACAACTTAACTATACAGAGTCTAATAATATACAGTTAACTATACTATGAACCTTGGTTCAGCTATATATTCGAAATAATGAACGAATGAAAAGAAACTTGAAGACTTTAATTAACATAAATGTATTCGAAACTAAGTAAGAACAAGTAAGACAAGTCTACTTTTTATACAAGTCACCTGACTTGGAACACACACGTTTTTAGTTTACTCTGTTGCAAAGATAACTATAAATATCTGATGTAAAGTCAAAGGAATAAATTATTGTGATGCTTTAAAAAGGTGTGGGAACACTAAAATGTGTTGTACATGAATATGTAAAATTGTTGTGTATGAACCAAAAGATACATCAATATCCCTTATTTTCCACTTATTATCTTATTGTTAGTAAGTGTTCAATGATCTACATGCATATGCATTTAAAAACATTCGATGCATAGAAAAATACAAGATGATAGTTCATAAGAACTTAATATCTTCTTCTAAAAAAACTAACTGATTTAATTTATACACTTCTTAATAGCAACTGAGGACCAAAAAATAATTCTCATATCCCACTTATTTTTATAGATATGCGATTAGAGTACATCTTGATAAGGTTATTACAATGATTATGACATAAAAGTTATAATTGAGACTATACATGTACTAAAAAAAATGTAAAAAATTTTAAAAGTTAATTTTTTCCAATTTGAACTTGAATAAATGTGGCAAACTTATAATAAATAATATTAAGATCTGATTCCCCATTCGTACACAGGGTACCTCATGTACATAAACATGGTGGCCCACGCAACTTGCACACCTTAAACAACTACACTAAGGTATGCATTGTATGAACAAATTTGTTATACAAAAGTTGCATGGTTTGGAGGGATACATTATGTAGTACATATAATTTTTTTGTAGGTGGAGGCATTTTAGAGATTTCGAGGTCAACTTTGTTGCTTTAAATAGAATGCTACATTTCTTACACAAAAATATTGAAGAGTATTGAATTCCAAGCAAAAAAGTATTGACCTTTATTAGCATTAAACCTAATAATTAACGAATAATTTCAATATCAACAAAGATTTCATTTTTGTTGCATTTTGAATGCACTCACCATAAACTAAAAGCATATCTAAGTGTTCACTATTATTATATTTCATTTTTGCTTTGATCTTACTGAGGTAATCACGTAGACACACTGATAATGACTTTAATACTGAAACACAGACAGAATAGGCGTTGCGATCATACAGAATCTGCATTGTTGATAAACATTGTCACGTAAACACCATGATCTCACAGAAATCTTTGCTGATAATGAACCTCTAACTTGATATTACGCACAGTATATTTTCAAGAAACGAAATGAAATTATTTGTTAATTATTAGGTTGAATGCTAATAAAGGTCAATACTTTTTTAATCAGATTTTAACACTCTGCGATATTTTGGCATAAAAAATATAGCATTCCGTTCAAAATAACGAAGTGGACCTTGAAATCTCCGGAACACCTCCACCTACAAAAAAATTATATGCATTACATAATGTATCCCTCCAAACCATACAATTTTTGTATAAAATATTTTTTCATACAATGTATACTTTAGAAGTTATTTGGGGTAGGTAAGTTGCGTGGACCACCCTATATATTTCAAAATTTTGAAGGATAGTACAAGAGCTCAAATGGAATAAAAAATGTCTTTAAACTGATTTCATTTTATACTAATAAAGACTTAAAGTTTTAAAGTACTTTCTGTCTTTATTAGCAATCGTAGAATTTTGTAATTTTATACATTTACCAGTGAACAGAAGTAGAACAGAAATGTAATAATAAATTTTGTTATATCTCCTCTAGTCTAAGAGTCATCAAATTAAACAAGTTTGAGATGTTTGTAAACAAAAGTTCATAATCAAATGGTCTAAATAACAAGAACTTATAGTTTATGACAAAATCTTATTAAGATCTGACCCAGCCATAAACCTTTTAAAAAGGAAAAGCATCAACTTATTTGTATTTTTATAGAAATGTATTGGTAATTCTATCTGTTCGCTACAGTTGCATGGCCTTTGGCAATCTTATTGTTAAAGTGCCCTGAGAGGCATATTACTTTTCCAACAACCAAAATGTCTAACAAGAGTGCAAGACCTTCAAGTCCCTAATTTAGTTGAAACTCTGAGTATCTTTATTTACTATTAAGATTTTAAATTTATTTACTATACATACAAATAAAAAAATGGTACTTATCATTATGTACATAATAAGAGTTCTTGGAGAAGCGAACGCGACAATTTACTGAAAAAGAAATAAATTTTCAATAAAAAGGATTTATATCTACAACTAGAAAATATATCTTTCTATACTGTTTTCCCTGGTTTTATAATAAATACCATTCTTGTACATAACAATAAATACTATTTTTGTATTGATATATATATATTGTAAATAAATTTAAAACCATAATAGTAAATAAAGACATTTTCATGAAAATATATTTGTAAGAATCTATTCAATATTTACAATATGTTTTTACATATGAAATCTAACTATTTGGTACAGATAAACGATACAAGAAAAAAAAACTGAAGATACAAGAAACTGTGAGTTTGCAGGGAATTAAACCAAGGTCCTCGGCCATGATAGTTTAGCATACTACCTTCTCACCACAGCAGTGCTTGCTACCTACTTCAATCCAACTGTACCTCAGTATAGGTTTTTGAACTAAAACTTCAATCACAAATATCTTCAAAAATATTGAGTATCTCACCCTTTAATGGATTAGTTTCATAAACAGAATGACAAAATCTACCAATATTCAAAGTCTCAACTAAATTGGTGACCTAAAGGTCTTGTACTCTACTTGTAAGTCAATAACCTACCTAAGTTTGTTGGTTTTACAATTATGCATAAGCCAGATTGCAATAGCATAAACATATTTTAACTTTACATATTTAATGCCATAAACATATTTAATTATTATTATTGCAAAACTGAAGCAGATTAAATGTGGTATCACAAGACATTTTTTGTTCCATTTTAACTTTCATAGTCCCTTAAAATATTGGAAGGTATACTTGGGACACTATATATATCTCATAAAATATTAAATAGCAATGCAATAATTATATTTTTGTTTAAAATCTAGGAAAATAGCAATTTCTCATATTATCAAGTATGTCGATCTATTAAATATTTCACTTTACTTTGTTATCTTATCATATTATATACAATACTTTTATATAACATTAGATTAAAAACATAAGTTTCTTAACATATTAAAACACCAAAATCATTAATACACATTCAGTTAACTAATATTTTTTCAATAATACTGTCCCAACAGATTTTCATAGAATCTAAACTCTAAAAACTACTTTTAAATCATCAGAAATGACTGACATCCATGCCTTCGATACAACCACGAATTTTCGTTTATATACTTTAAATTGTAAGGCATGAAGTTATCACGGTTAAAAAATAACAAGACATGTTCCTATTGTCAAGTGATTATATATGATACTTGTATTAAAAGGTTATCAGTTTTTAAATTACCTCTGTTTTATTTCCCTGTGACGTGTCATCTGATACTAAGCTGACCAGCATGGTCGTCAAACCAGCAACAAAAAACGATAAAGCAACCGAAAGCAATACCCATTCGAACCATTTTTTAGAGCTGAGTTTGTGTCTGGATATAATCCTCCAGAAACCACTTCTTAACCCACCGCCACCTCCTGCACCATCACCTCCGCTGTCGTATGTATAACCCACCGTTGTGGGTTGATAAACAGCACCGCTGTCTGGCATATCTTCTCGTGAAATATACGCAATTTTCACGGTGTTTTTTGTGCCCAACAAAGGGCACTCAACACATTCACCGAAAGTTTGTTAAGCTTTTAATCTGAGTTGAGCAAAGTATAGTATTGCCCAATAAAATAAAAGGTGATTACCACTTTATTGGTATGTCAGTGTCAATAAACGTTTAGAATTATTTCTAAGTTAATATTATGTGCTCGGCAACCTTAATTTTCACAACTTTATCGTTACATGTATATATTCGCAATGCAGATAAAACGTGCACATTGGTGCACACAGGTGCACATATAGACACTGATAGACACTAAGACGTCACGTAGGACTAAATATGCACTGGATGCGGGGGGTTCCACTCAGTACATTATTTAGTTAACACGACATGAGCATCCTCTACCGGAAACGGGTGCACTAAATGACCAATGGCGGGCGTTTCAAAATTGATATTAAATGCATCCCTTACTTATTACTATCACCGTTACTATTCAGGATGTAACAAAATGTTAGAAGACCCGAAAATGGGAGACTCAGGAGGTGATTTGAAATAAGTTTTTCCTTAGCAAAAATTTTATCCGAGGCTTTGTCAACGAGATATTAAAGAGAACGTTGGTTACTAATCGTTATGCGTATAGAATCTCCCCACAGTCCCATTAGAAAGGGAAGTAACTGCTCCAGTTATTTCCATTTCTCTCTATGTCGACTTCAGTCCTACCATAAGACCGCGCAGTCTATTAATATGTCTATGGGGATGAGGCTATTTGGTGTGGATTTTGCATAGACATAAAAATATAGACTGCGCCTTAGGCTGAGTCGACGTCCCAACTTTAGAAAAAGACGGATTAATTTCGGATTAATTTCAGATCCCCAGATCCTCACCCCCCATTACTTAGATTTAAAAACCTCTTTTTAAACTTGGGACGCCTGTGTCAGGGAGATGCGCCGTCTATATTTCTATGTCTATGGGTTTTTGAAATTACGCCATCTTTGAGAATAAACCACCTTCGCCGCCTATACAGATTAGCAGGAAATAACGCTTTCCATTTATGTACATGTATGCTTTCTCGCATAATTTGTAGAGAAATACAAAGTACATATATACTTATTTGATACACATAAAGAACATAAAGCGTGAACGATAAACCAGAAATTTAGATGAGGCAAGTACTGATAGTATATAGTATACTATAATATATGTATACATCAGTATAATGTTAAAGAAAAAATAAATTTGTGGTACAGATATTATAGATGATGTATTAATTACATAGTTTAGTTTACACACATGTATATTTTATAAATATGAAAAATATTTACAATTTCAGATATATGTACATATAATATATAAATGTAAGTACAAACAATGTTATAACTTTCGTTTGTGAATATCATTAGTTTCCAAATGTATAATACATTTATAAATTGAATTTTTCCTTTTTTATTTGTAAGTCACCTGGTCTGTACATAAACAACTTATGCATTCTCCAGTTGTACCGTGAATCTTCATAGTATAAATCTATGAAATATACGAAAATGAACAATAATAAAAAGGAAGAAAACAAATGTTTGTAACTTGCAGGGAATGAGGATGTCATTTCTGTTTGTAGACTCTTCACTTCTTGTTTTAAAATGCGGGATGACTTACGAAACAGACATATTCTTTTATATGCCTTAACTAATTTTTTCTTCACAGTCCTGGGTGTGTCAGTATAAGTACTTATGATCATGTACTGCCATATACTACTCGCCAAGATGATGTAGAAGGTGTTTGATGTGGAATGTCTCCTAGCTTTGTCTCCTGCACATGTACATCAGGACCTATGAAATTTAACATATCAAATATTCTTATTACATAATGAAATTCAGGAAAAAGTAGAAAAAGCAGTGTTAATGCTAGATATTATTTGTGTACATACTTTCTGTATAGGAGCAATGGGGTTCCATAAATACTTCGTTTCCTTGCTTCAGCTAGACATTTTTTGACACTATATTTATCTAAAAAATAATTATCATAAGTTTATGTTCAGCATACAATGCACTATCACATAATATGAAATTCAGGAAAAAGCAGTGTTAATGCTAGATATTATTTGTGTACGTACTTTGTGTATAAAAGCAATGGGGCTCCATAAATACTTCATCTGTTTCCTTGCTTCAGCTACAGATTTTTCGATTCTATATTCAACTAAAAAGTAATTATCATAAGATTATGTTCAGCACAAAATGCCATGGAAAATGTATTTGTTTTCTGAAATCGGACACCGACTGCCTACTAAAATAGAAGTCTTTTATCCTACCTTCGATTCTTCTCGTAGATGCACTCCTTTCTTCTTAAAAAGAATATTTCCTTTGCATAACGTTTGTATGTTGAAGGTAATGTAAAGCCGTGGCACACATTTCATCTTACGCGACAAATCATGTGTGTAAAATATATAAGGAATTTCAATTAATGTTCCAATGCAATTCGATGTTTGTTCTGGATTTGAAGTTCGCACCGCTTTCATTTATACCAACAGCTTTTGTTGTTGTTCCTCAACTATACCACACAGTATCATATATGTATGCTTTTAATACATTTTGTATACTTGATGCAGTTTGTAGCAATGTGATGCCATTTCTCAATTCGTATATGTTATTCAAAAATAAATGAAATTACTCGATTCCCCGTGGGCCATCTATTGGCATAGTGTGTAAGACTTCATCTAGTAACTGAAGGGCTCTATGTAAGTGTACCTGTACCAAACAATAAGATTGTATTTTTGTCATTTTTAAATGTGAAATACTAAGTAAAATAAAATTGTTTGTACCTCTATCCAGCACGGAGTTTCTTTTATACTTTGCCGAGGATAATCAGGACCCCAACCTTTAACAAAACTTAAACGTAAAATGCAGAGTCGTCGGAGATCATCTACGCCTATACCAGCTGCCGCACTTAAACCTATATTAAATTATAAATTAAGATAATAGTTAAAGAGGAGTTTGATATCATTCTTACACAATTGGAAGAATGTTATACGAACTTTTAGTAATTGGTGCTCCGTGTGTTAAATGTCCTGCCACAGCAGCAGCTTGTGCCGCGGCTGCAGCTTGAGCAGTAGCGGCCTGCCCTCTCATTTGCTTGTGACACTGTCGTAAATCGAAAACTTTAATACAAGCAGAGGGATAAATTTTATGTACCGCATCACCAGGTGCACGACCTGCTTCTCTGTCTAAATAGTAGGATTGTACAAAGACACTATGTTCGCTTTGGCATCTTAACCAAACGTCTCCTTCCCCTCTTAAGTCCAGCACGACACCTTTTCCTGAGGAATATATGACAGTATAACAAATGATCATCTTAATTAGAAACAAAGAACATAAATAGCGAAAAATGGATATACCTATGTGAAGTCGTGCTTTTTCACTTTGTTCTGTTCTGTGTACATTACTCAAGGCTCCTAAACAAAATCTATTACCACCGCTGGGATCGACATATCCATCGACTGTGACGGTAGGACAACCACTGCTTACTTTAAATGTTTCACCTACTTGAGTATCTAATTCAAAATAACCAACAGAACACCAATATTCGGGTGCTGGCTGTGTAGAAAGTAAACCACCAATGTTTCCACCTACATCACCACTGTGACCAACCCCTAACAAAAATATATGTTTACAATAATATTAAAGTAGCGCTATATAAATTTATCGTTAACTTACAATAAGAAGTAGGATGAAGGTGTCTATGATCTGGAGGTTGCATGCTCTGAGTATATGTAAGAGTATTAGCTCCAGTCCACTGCGGTGCCCCCGAATTATAAGCAGTTGTACCTATTGGAAATCCATTTGGATGATGAATATGTACAGATGATACAGGCGAGTTCTGGCCGTTACCTATTAGAATATCAAGTTGCAGAATGATTTTAAATAATTATGAAATGTACATGCAGGATAGTGTAGTATACCTAAAGTTACTGCTAATGCATCAACACTTGGGGACTGATTAAGGTCTTGAGGTGGAGTGTTAGTTCCATAGAAAGCTTCAGTAGACTGTCCTTGCGAAGGATTCAGCATTTGTGTGCCATTTCCTCCACTAGATGTAGTCGATGACTGTTGTTGGCTACCTACGGTGTGACTCATTGGATGAACTACTGCTGCAAAATCAAATGTAACTCGTACACAATACAGGCAACATAACACACATTGTCAATTATACACAACCTGTATCCAGAGTCTTTGAAATAAATTGCATGAAGTGATTTCAAAAGACTATTACAATTTTCAACAAAACTGGTGCAAAACAATAAAAACTACTCAGCAGTAGATGGAAAGTAGTAAAAATATAAACAGGGATTCTATTATATACGTACAATGATGAATGTTACGTGTTGTAGGACGATGAGGTGTAGGAATCCAGGTTTGTCTGGGACAATTACTGTCGTCCAGTTTATTATGAGGGTTACCACCATTATTCTCTCCCACATTACTGCCAAATATACCCTCACCACTAGCTGTGCCAAACAAGAAAAGAGAAAAGAAAGAATAATGCTAAACTGAAATAAAACTAGCAATGCACAATAATAGTAGATAAAGCAATAGTAATGAATAAAAAAGTTGGGCACAAAAAATAAAACCACCCTCTAATCTACAATTCCGACAGCAAAACTTTATTCATTTCTATATAGTGTTTTTATTTAATATTGTAGGATATAGACATGTGAACATGCTTGATCTTTAAATAAATTAACACACCCTGTATACAGAAATACATTTACTAACCAAAAATTATAGGAATACCATAGAAAGATTAGAAGATTATGACACTAAGATTTTTTACTTAACAACTTTAAATTAACCAACTTTAACACATCATAAATTATCATTGAAATATAGTTCATATATCCATAATAAACAACAAATGTCATTAAAAAAGAAGTACAGTACTTTACTTACTTGGATTAGATGGTGCTAGGCCTGGTATAAAAGTTTGTTGAGATGATTGAGTGTTATTAGATGAATTGGATTGAGCAGGGGGATGATGCTGAATGGTCTGATTCATTTCTTCATCAACATCCATTGTAGTTCCTACTGCTCCAGCTGCTGTAGTTCCTCCACCACCAACAGAGTACTCATCTTTGACCAATCTACCACCTGGTCCAACACCCACTCCTGATTGCAAAGTCAGCCCAGACAGGTCTGTAAAGAACGGATCTGTGCGGGGGAAACCAACCCATTGCATCATACACCAAGGCCACAACAATAAATCATTTACACTTATGGTGCTAATGAATTCACAGAAGCTTTGCAAACATATAAGATATTACAAGGAACTTCGATCGAAGCACATTTCTTTAGAAGGAAAAAGCAAACAAGAAATATGTTTAATAACATACCTATGCCAGGAGATACAACTCTCTCATAGTGATATGGATTTACACATACAGAATCACACTTTAAGTCGAAAGCAAACTGACAGTATTTGACATGTTTTAATTCATTTTTATGTAAATCTGGCCATCTCCAGATTCGTGCGTAAATAACATGTGGAAAACCCTTACGACCAGCAACTTGTAGCCTACCATCAAGAGTTCTCTGTATTGTAACGCACTTGCTGGGATGTGCTCCATTTGTAGTGATAGCAGTTATTAAGCTATCTAATTCATCTCGTTTTTCCTGAGAAAAAATATGGACCATTTACTTGAATTTCTTGATACAATTAGATAATTGACAGAAAAGTACTTACCTTAAGTTTTTTTACTAAAGATTCTATGGCTCTTTTGCTGAATCCTTCGCTTTCTCCACCTTGACGGTGACACATTAGTGAATGTACTATGCTTAAACAAGCATCTGCACTTGTTGGAGCAGTAGGAGCCATTCCAGTCATCTCTCTCACTGCAAACAATGTTTACATTGCATAGTAAACATGTACCAATAATGGGCCACGTAAATATATCAATTCTGATTATTTACAAAAAATAACGTTATCAAAACTTACCTTCTGGATTAGGTTGCATTGGGGGCGAAGGATACAGATGTCCACCTCTGCCCGCCAATCCAACCGTCTCTGTGAAAGCCGTGGCGAATAACGTTCCAATTCTTTGATTGAGACACTATTTTTATCCTTGGCTTCGATGTGTTCAAATTTTTATGACTTACCATCCAGCAGCGATCAGTTAGTCATGCGTGTCACGTACGTGGATTCACTGAAAATGTGAAACAGTTAAACAAATTGAATGTAATCGATTATGAAATATTAAGAGACACAGAACGTATGTACCTTATCGGTTGACAAACTGATTACAAGTGATTACGAGTGATTACGGGCAATTACGGGTCGACTATACAGAAAATAACCTTAACCGTGTCGCTCATAGACATATATATGTCTATAGTGTCGCTTTACAATTCACAATATAGACATATATAATAGACTGCATGGTCTTATGTAGGACTGAAATTGACATAAGCGAGAGAGGGGAATAACTGGAGCAACTACTTCTCTTTCTGATGGGACTGTTGGCTGCGGTGAAGGCATTCACTGATCTGTATATATGGATACGAATACGGAATTAAGGCTTCTAAACTTCTAAGCATACGATGGCTTAGTTACTGTTGCGTGGGCCCTCAGGGAATCCTGAGTCTCAATATAATTGAAGAGTGAAACGCGTTAGCTTTATAGATAATTGTAAATACAAGGAAAAACAAAAAAAATAAACTAATTATAAAGGAAAACGAATTCAATTGATAAAGATAATTTTATACGTCCTTTCCGTTACAATGTTGTCGATGGAATGAATGTCTTTTCATTTCTCTTCATACACCTTTTTGTTTAATTACAAAATGTTCTTAACATAATTATTGCCGGACAATGTCGAGGAATTATGTTTTAATACATTATAATTTAAAATAATATTATATATGCCTGTATGTTGTATGATAGATTAAATGTCCCTAATACTGTCACTTTATTTATTTTACTTAATAAAAACATAACGTACGAAGAAATATGTACTGAAGATTGTATTATTAACTCTGTCCAACCACAGGATTCCATTTGGAATCGGTTTAACTTATTTAGCATTTATAGTTCATATCATGAACCTGAAGATTCAATATGGCATCGTATCGTATAGTATATTTTTTGCCGTTAGACGGAAAAGTTCTCGAAAATATCATTCGGGACCCGAATATGTTACGGGACCCGATATCTGTCGGGATCCCCGCCGCTCTCGCACGACTCGACCCGAGTCTCGGGAATCCCGTGATTTCGGGTACCCGCATACCCCTGATAAATAGACAATTTTACCTTCCATTATTGTTTGCGATTATAGTTGGAACATAAAATGTGCAATAATAATAACTTTAATGCTTATTAACAAGAAAACAATTAATTCTTAAAAGAAATAACTTAAAACCACCCAAAATTTCACTTTAAATAATTTTGTCTAAAATTTTTTTTATGTTATAATACTTTATTTAAGTTATGATAAAATAAGTTTGTTTTGTGACTGTTTATGTTACATTTACGTTACTTATGTAATTTACGTGTAATTTACACGTAACGTAAATAACTTGGTTTCATAGGGATTTACCCATCACTGCTCGTGAATGTATGTGTGACAGAGAATTTACTACAGGGTTGTATAGTTCAATGAGGGGCCGCTATATTTACACCATTTACTGACCATTTACACGTATCAGCTGTGGAATGACAGGTAGGATAAAAAATGGCTGAAAATGGGTTGGGGTCGGATTCTGGGTCTCAAGAATACCTAGAAACAGAGATCATTAATTTAGACATCGAAGAGGTAATTAAATATGAAATATTTATGTAACAAATAATCAAATATAGTACATGTAATTTTCAGGTTATGTACTTATAATTGATTAATTCATTTTTCATGTTTATAATATTATGGTTTGGTCGTAGTAAAATTACTGTATTAAATTTTCTGTGTTAACGTTTAAATTTTTTATCGTATTCCTGTTAATATATTTTCTACTTTAAGTGTGTCTGTTTCTTCTCAACCCCCTCCTAAGTATGTATGTAGTTATCTCTTCTAAATAGATAATTTTGTTAAATTATGGAAATTTATATTACTTTACTTATTTACTTATTTCTTATAGTTGGACAACACTGAATATGCTATACCTGCCGTGGAGGAATTACCCTCTTTAGAAAGTATATTGACAGAACCTGATTGTGCTTCATTATCTGGAACAGATGATGACTTTGGTTTCACACCAGGAGAAAAGTTAGGTAGTAGTGAAACGACAAGTGTTGGAAGTCATTTATCATTAAATTCTTTAAATAAACCAAATAAAACTTCACAATCAACGTATTGTGGTGCTATTTTGAGGCATGTCATTTTGAAAGGAATATCTTCGCAAATTGTATCAGCCAGTGTAAGAGGAAAACAGTTTTTTTTGTTTCAAAATGATAATGAAAACAATTAAATATTGAATTCAATCTAATAGATATATTATATTTGTTTAGGAAAAAGTTAATGCTGGCTTGGCTAGTGCAGTTGCTGCTGGAGGAAACATGTTAGTAGTTGGTACTAGTCATGGTCTGGTATTAGGTTTTGATTCTTCACAAACATTAAGATGGTGTGATCAAGAGGCAAGGCATCAAGGTTCTGTATCTGCATTGTGCTTTAATTATGATGGAAGCAGAGTACTGGCAGGTTTTGCTAGAGGACACATATTAATGATAGATAGCTCTAATGGCAAAGTACTCAGGACACTCACTGATGTTCATCCTCTAGACACAGCCGTATTACATGTTAAAGTGAGACCTACTTATAAAATTTGGGTAGTTAATTAATGATATTCATTTTTTACAGCTAAAACACAACTTTCTTTTCATAGTTCACAGATTCACCAAAAGTTGCACTATGTAGTGATAGTGGAGGGTCAGTTTTTGAATTAAATTTTACAAGGGTTATGGGAGTACGAGGTTGTGATAGCAGATGTCTATTTAGTGGATCTAGAGGTGAAGTATGTACATTGGAACCTTTGTTGTTAAATCATCTGCCATCGCACCCCCTCAAAAATTACACATTGGTAGCAATGGCAACATTATCAAAGGTTTGTTCATGTTTTTTCTTTATAAATTTTACAAATGCATTAAATATACATATACATTGTTTAAATTTGTTTAGGTAATAGTAGTTTGCATAAGGCCACGAATGCGTGTTGTATTAACTCATCCTCTGTCTGGTGCTCCCATAGCACCACCACAACTGTCTTGGCAACTTGTTGTTATACAAGCAGCAGATGCTTCTCGTGTAATTGATCCAGTCCTTGCACTTGCAAGGGATGATGTGGTTCACTTTTATCAAGTATGAATTTTATATAATTTGGCTCATTAAATATTCGAGTGTTTCAAAAGTGCATAGCATTTCTAAGAGTAGAATTACTGTTTGTAGTTTTCAATTTGCATTTCATTTTAGTTTCCATTTCTTTATACAACTTTTCTTTATATTTCAGATAATTTCATTATATCTGTTATATATAGGTTGAGGCAGGAGAGGAGGGAAATATTTTGGGAGGTGATAGTATGGGTCATTGTAAAAAAAAGTCTAGATAAACATGGCTATTATTCTTAATAGTTTCGGAGATATAGCTGTTTAAAATTTATTATTAATATGAATACTACATATATAATTAATAATTGTTAAAAACTATGGTGAACACTTTCCGATTGGGAGTTCTTCGATTTGGTAATCTGCAACAGTAGCAATGGTACTTGCATCGCAAAAATTATATACATACACCATATTAATATATTCGGCATGTGTACAGATTTGTGGCATTATTATAACGCTTAATAAAAGAAACATGTATCTCCATAATTCTCAATTATTAACTGGATCGTACAGGGTTCTGTTTGTGCATCAAAGAGGAAAGAGAATAGATGTAGGCGCGCTACATTCGAACAGCTGTATCTCTGAAACTATTGAAAATAATAACCATTTCATTGAGACTTTTCTTTTACAATGATCCATACTTCCAGCTCCAAAAATATTTTCCTCTTCTCCTGACTCACCCTGTATAAAACTTCTATCCTTTTGTTTAAAAAATGCTTCAACATACTTACTATTGTATGAATTGTCTATTTTCAATGTTTCTTCCTCCTACGGAATATTTCAGTGATCTGAATGAATAATTCTTAGTCGAAGTAGTTTGATTTATGCTTGATTATACTTTTCTGCAGAGATGAGCAAATTCATTGCCTGGGTAAAGAGTTTCGAACAAAGAATGAAAGACAACAAAAGTACCTTGCCATTTCTAATTTATTAAATGTGGAAATTTCAATTTTTATATTAAAATAGTATTTCTTCTTGAACAAGAAGACACTTTGCAAACAATTATTTAATTTCATTACCTGTTTGAACCCCTTTATACTGTGTGTTATTCAAATAAAATTGTACCCAACTCTGCTTTCCTATTTATATTTCTCACAAAAAGAGCAAAAATATGTTCAATATGTATCACAATATTTAGCAGATCAACTAAATTCGTATTTCTGCAATAAAAAGGTAATGATAAAGACATAGTGCACGAAACGCGACGAACTTTCCGAATAACCTAATAATTATAACAGTAATTTTATTAAATAAAAAGAAGTTTATATTAATTGAATTTTTTCACCAGGTGTGCACAGAAGCTGGTTCAAGAGTGAAATTATCTCCTCTAAGGAGGATGACTCTTCCATATACAATAAGTAACTTACGATGGTTAAATCCAAGATCATTAGCAGTACTGGATACTCAAGAAAGGTTACATCTGTTAGACGTAAGAGCGCAGGATAATTTGGAAACTTTAGATATGAGTCGTGTTAGTATTTCATATGCTTCTAGCCATTTTAAAGGTTTATCCACTGGTGGAAATGTTTCGAAGGTACAGATCAATCAGACAATAAAATAAAATAATTATGTATTCCAAAATAATGTTTTATCTTTGATATTAGGCAATGGCATTGGCTGGTGAACGAGCATGTTACAATACTGTGGTAACATTTGGTACTCAACTTTTACTTTTGGGTACAAAAAGTTTACACGTGGTGTTCATACGAACATGGACAGAACGATTGAGGCATTTGACAATGCAGGTATGTTACAATTATCACAATATGTATACACCCACAAAAATAATTTTATCCACAAACCTTACATGACAGTTTACATGAAATATAATTGCACTTCAGATTCTAGTTGATATGTGATGACTTAAATTCTTGCAATTAATAATAAAAACAAATCTAGAGTTTTTGATGAATCATAAGGCAATAGAGAGTTATTACGTTCGTTGGTGTATAATTTTCTCCAGTTAGCCGAATGACCGGGGAATAAGACCATCCATGAGTCATGTAAAGTTTTGTAATTTTTTTTTTAAATTATTCGAAATGGAGAGAAACTTTGTTTGTTAATATAATAGTAATCATTATGTTATAATAACATAGGAAAATTATATTTGAATAAATAGAATGGTACAGTACTTGATCCATCAGTCACATGAAGTATGTTGTATTATTTCAGAAAAGATTTCCAGAAGCCTTAGCATTGGGTCTCTCTTTCTACCAAGATAAAGGGAAAGCAGTTGTAGGTCTTCGTGGTTCAAAGCAGCGTCGCAAACAAATAGCTCGCGATAAAGTATGTCACGTTTTAATTCAGTACATGGAAGAATTGAATCGTTGCACTGCAGATGAAAATGTAGAGTTTGAAATAGTCACAACGTGTGTAGATTATTGTATACAGTTAGAAAATACAGAAATATTATTTGGAAAGTTATGGGATTTAGTTTCGGAATCAGAGGGACTCAAAGCGAGTTACTTGCATGCCCTCGAAAGTCCTTTATTAGATGGAAGTCTTCGACCTCGACTACCACCATTAATTGCTCAACAATTAGTTACCGTTTATGACCAGGAAGACAAAGTGGACTCCTTGCAATCAATAATAGTGTTATTGGACGTTGACTGCTTAGATATTCACCAAGTAAGTAAAAATATTTATAATATTTTTTTGTTTTTAATTAAAGAATACATTTTTCTTGGGAAACTCTGTAGGTAACAACAGTTTGTCGTCAACGAGGACTTTGGGAAGCTTTAATACATCTTCAAACGACTGCATTAGGGGATTTCACCGCTCCAATTCATCAATTAGTACCTGTTTTACAAAGTTCATTAACGAATTCAAAAGATTCAGTAACTCGAGATAGTATACAGCTTGGTAACGCAATTCTGGTTTATGCCAGTTGTTGTCTTGCTGGTCGTGGTTTTCCTAGAGATGAGCTTCCAGAGGGTAAATCGCAAAGAGCAAAAACAGATGTACTGAGAGCTTTGCTTTCACAACATTCAAGCTTAGCTAATGACACAGAAAGGCAATACCCTTATCTAAGGACATTGCTTCAGTTTGACGCAAAGGGATTTCTTGATGTGATAGCAATTGCTTTTCAAGAACCAGAATTCACATCTGAAATAGGTCTCAGACAACGACAAAGGCTCATAGACATATTATTAAGTATTGTTATGCCTAGTACACCACTTAGTCCAAGGAATCCCGATTGTATCACCGACGAACAAAGAAATTTAGTTCTTATATTTATAGCTAATGAGGTAGCAGAAAATACGGTTAATTTAGAACCTAGCATGTTAAATAAAATAATCGAAATATTATGTACTGACTCAAGCATGGGATCATCAAAAGAGCTTAAGACTGATAAAGAAAATGCAATATTGGGATTATTACGTTCTAAGAAATTGCGTAATATATCAGATAATACGTTACTTAATTTGGCAGAGAGAGCTAATTTGTAAGTATATGTTAAAATAATTAAGGTCTTTCTTAATGTTTACAAATATGTAAACAAAGTGTTACAATGTAATTCAAGTACCACGTTTTAAGAGATTCCATAATATTATTATTCATATTGGTAGCATCATACATAGTAACTTGTATCGCAGTACATAATGTTACAGTATGCAAGTTGCGGAGTTGCTGTACAGTGCCAGGGAGGATTGGATTGCAGTTTGTAAATGTATGATACTGCATCCATTTAGACATCATGAAATTTGGCCCTGGTTGAAACACCTCTCTCAGAATTCATTGCAAACAGTTGTAATGAACAATACTGAAGCTTTAGTGGGAATTAATCCAACTCAATTTGCAATACTTATAGCAACACATATGCAGAATAATCTTAATGAAATAATACAGAAGCTAGTGAATACTTCAAATCTGCAGTACACCTTACTGGAAGCTTTATATGAAATAGTTCAGTATAAAGAAGAAGATATCTCATTAGATCTTTCAACTGAATTGTTAGAAAAGTATTTGAAATTAATGTGCGAATTGCAACCAGAAAATGTAAGTAAAATCTTATCGAGGTATTTTAATTTTAGAATATATAATTTCACTCTTCAATTATTATTTTCATGCAGGTAGTTGGTCATATTCAAGGAATTCATGGTTGTCGACTGAATGAAGCATTGAAAATAGTTCAAAAAGCAAATCATAAAGATGCTGAAGCTGTTATGTTAGAAAAATTAGGCAATTATCAAGATGCATTTGATATTCTTCTGAACGAGTTTCAAAATAATCTTAAACTGGTAAGCATATTTTACAGAAATAGATACCGATAATTTATTTGTATCAATTTTATGAAAGTCTTCTTCTAGTATTGCCAGAATAAGATTTCAGAAAATGAATCAGTTCAGAATACAATACAGCTGGCGGGACTTTGTAAAAGATCTGCTGGAAATTTAGATTGGATGCCGCTTGTGGAAACAATACTTCGAACACATTCAAATAGTAATGATGAAAAAGGTACGTTTTACCATCGGTTTTAATATAAATACATAGATCATCTGTATATTCATTATTCTTTAAAAACAATTTTTAAATTTTATTTTTTATATTTTTTTTATCAAATCAGTTTTATAGAATACTGTTATTAACATAATAGTGTAGACATTCTTTAGTTTATTCTTTCAAATATATTAACCATCCTGAATTAATTGCAGTTGAAAAATTAAGTGGAAAATTGTTAAGGATTGTATTAGAATTTCTTAGTGGTACAACAGCATTATCGACTGTATTAGAACAGATTCTGAAACACCCACTAGCAACAAGTGGTACAATAGGTGACATAAGGCAATTATTATCTGGGGTACTAACACATTCTCGATACGAACAAACTTTAGTAGAGACTACTGCACGTTTGGTCAGTCTAGAGCTTCACGAGGCTCTGAAAAATTCGTTAAGGTATTAGATACTCTGATATTAAATCTGAATAATTACATAGATTTAACACAGACAATTTTTTAAGTATTAATATTTTTCTGTTTTAGAGACGCAGGTAGAGCATGTGCCAGTATATCATTAATTTGTCCCATATGTCGTCATTTGTTGTCACAATGTACAGACTATATAGTAGTTTTCAGTTGTGGTCATGGTTTTCATTCAGAATGTTTGGGAGAACCTAGATCGTGTTATAAATGTTTAAATTCAAAGGGATGGGCTCCCATAGTTACTAATATCACACATCTTACCAAGTCATTCCATGTACGTAACATTACAAATTTTCCATTAGTAATTTATCTTGCGCATCAGTACTATTATATTAAAGATTGGAATTATTTTACAGGAGCATAAGCAAATTCTACCACCAGAATTTATGCGCAATAAAGATCTTTCTCTGAGACTTGCACCACCTACTTTACCAGATCTTGAAGGTATTTTTTAATCTAGTCTTTAAATATCAAAATTTGATATCACACTTATCAGTGATATATAGTATTCTAATGTTAAACAAAATGACTGTGGAGCCTTGTAAATGTACATCAAACTAGATCTCTTATTTTCATTCCATGAGGACTGTGTTGTTCTGTTTCCATATTCCATGTAATAAATTAAATTCTTATTAGTTTTAATAAGACCCCGTTTTGTATCATAGTGAAGGTAAACACATTATTTTACTTCCATGAATTATCTAACCCTGATATTTAAGCCATTCCTTGCTTGGCGCTGAATCATCAAATATTGTGTATTGTATACTGTAATATACTTATATTGTGTATAGTATCAATAAGGACTCACATACTTTTATTGCTGTAAATTCTATTCACCCAATTTGGAGCACGTTGCCAAATATCAGTCATTAAGTAAATAAAGATATTAATTAAGTAAATAAAACCATTTTCATTTGTTGTCAATAACTATGTACAATGTTACACATATAACGATTTCTTATGAAAAATTAAACAATAAACAATATGTTGAAATTAAAATGAAGATATACATACTTATATGCTTTTATTTATGTTGGATAATAAGGGCAAGTACCTTTACGTTTAATGTTTTTTATAATGAAAACTGGCTTCTTTGGTACATTTTCTATTAGAATATGATTAGGATCTATAGGTTCATACCCTAATAATTCACCTGTTAATAGTTTTACAAGAATTGAAAAAGTACTTAAATCAGACAAGAATGATTTTTTTATAGATAGTAATTCAACATTGGAGACATATTTATCCACCATTGAATCTAGTTTTCTAATATGTGGAATAATATTTGATATAGATAAATACTGTTGTAACTGTAATTTGAAAAAAAAAACATTGAATTGTGATTTTAATAAAACACTATTTACGTTACCTCAAAATTAGTTAATATTCTTACCTTATAATCACATTTTACCAAACTATTTATAAGTTCTTCAACTTCAGTAATTAATTCATACCCTTTTAACTTATATTCCTGATTGCAAGGAAGATCATGAGCTTGTAAACATAGTTTCAGTAAAACTACCTCTTTTTTAACTTTATCCAATAACAATGATAATGGAACTCCATGCAACGTTCGACTTGCCATTTGAATCTTAGAATATTTTTCAGAAATCTGTATTTATGCATAACTTAATAACCTTTTCAATGATTCTTTAACGAAGTATGTTATATGACGAAAATAAAAGATAGGGAAACATGTACACGAACAAAATATATGGAATTGTAAGTAAAAAGATACTTAAGAAATTTTATATAATTTTTACCTGTCGACTAATTGAAGTCCATGAATTCGAAATCTGATCAGCAAACTGTTTTATTTCATTTCCCCCGTGATGTCGTGCTTCGGCTAAATTCCATAAAGAGTCAAGTTTATCCAGAAGATTGCGTAAAACGTTATGGAACAGCACGAGCTTCGTTTCCAATTCATGATTGATTCTTAAATTGTAACGGTTTTCTATCTTTAAGATCGCTACCTAAATAAACATCGATAGTCTTGTATTTTGCTTTTATTTATTTATAATATACTTTTTTGTAATCTTTTTAAATAAACATTAATGTACTTTTTCATTTCTACATTCATAAATCATGTTCGTCAAATCTTTTTGTACCATTTATGATAACTCTTTCATGCTTAAATGGCCCAAGAAAACATCTTCGTAATTAATATGAAGTACAGTTTAGACAGTTTGTATGACAGTAATGAAGTTCATTTGAGTTACGAAAGATTAGATCAATCAGAACTATAATAATTTATTTGAACACGTTGTGAGAGCATGAAGGTGTTAAACATATGTATACTCACATTTCTTTCGAGCGTGTTTACAAGCTCGTTTTGGGAGATTTCTTCTTTTCTTAGCAAAAACTCCATTCTGGATGACCGAAATCCTTCGGAAATGTACAGGATTGCTTGTATAAATAATAAAGGTATACAATATCGTCGAGATATAACATTAATAAAATGCAAAATTAGATTACATGTGTCTTGCAAACTTTACATTAATCCGCTCGAAAATGCGATAGTCTTATGTTTTTACAGTGTAAATGAATCTCGGTTTCTATGGATTTACCGTCTATTTTTACGCTTTTCGATACTGGTATTCCAAAAACTGTATAGACATTTCCTTTTTATTCTTTTTTTTCTTTGTTTTTTAAGATATTTGATACATAAATTAAATCTGGCGTTTACCGCTATACAGTCGGTGTCACACACGTTTTCAATATTAAACGCAGCGATTTTCACCAAATCTCGAAGTTCGTTCTTTCAAATGGTACATGAATTTCAATGTACCAATGACCATTATTCTACATCAGCGGATGCAGTAACATCGTGCTCTAACTATAAGGTTATATCATGGTAATTATATTATGTTTACCGTAATATCAAGCTAATATAATTATTAAATTGCGTCTAATACTTAAGATGCAGGTCTAATATGTATACATCGAATCCATGTACCGTCCGATGCTTTGAAGTATTGAAGATTAATGACATCCGTAATAATCGCCAGATTTTAATAAATGTTGTTTTTGGCTAGTATTTAGTTTGTAGAATGATATAACGAGGTATAATGTAATGAGCGCTGTCGAAATAGCCAGCACCCTTACACTTGGCTTAACAATTTATCTATGGCTCTTATAATTTTTAATGATCTACGAGAAGTCCATAATATTAAAACTCTACACTTATCTATGTAATTTACAATTTCGTTTTAACTAGTACTTCAATAACTCGGTATTATTATTCATCGTTATAATTAAACACTCTTCATTCGACAATGCACAACATTCGCAGTCACTCTGGAATTAATATGTATATATAATATATAAAAAAAATTCAGAATTCACGTATATCCACAGGTATACACATTCACCATATTTTAAGAAAAATCATACGCTTAACGCCTTAATGATTATAATAATGAGCCTTCAATAAGTAATTACAAAGAACAGTATCTTTCTTAATGCAACATTTAACCAGTAATTGCTGTCCAATTAAGCTTGTTTTGCTACAATCTGAAGAGGGAAGAGTATCTTTGTTCAGCAAAATCAAGGACGGATTATTACGTTACGAAGAACACACGGTACGTTCCTCAAAACAAAATTTTGAAAATATTTTTTTGCAATTCCATCTTTATGAATTGAAACTTCTTAAAATTTTGAATATCCACAAGTAATTTTATTATTTATGTCCGAATATGTATGGATATTCCCAAAAAAATAGTTTCTATAAATAATTAAAGATGTATCAAGTAAATTGCAACATGTATGTATCTTCCTCGCAAGCTTAGTTCACACATTCATACCATAAGATTAATATAAAACAATTGTTTCAAAATTCTGTCATTATTATGTAATATGAAAGTTAAATTATTTTTACAAATAACATATTCAATTGCGTAATTCAAATTAAATAATAAAGACGTAATTTTACTCCTGTAACTTAAGCATTAAAAATGCACCTAATGTGTTGTCAAACTCTTACTAATTAAAAGATATTAATGTAACTTTTAAACATTGCAACCATCCATACATTCTTCTGTTATTACACGACGAAGACACGCGTATTTCAGTGCTATGTTATAATAAATTTCATTCATTTTGAACACAAGATTGGCAGAGTTACTGATACTCATCCCCCATGTTCTGTGTAGTACAATGTCCACAGACATAATGTGAGCTACAAGACAACGATAGACTACTTTAAGTCTGTGTCAGAAACATGCAAGACTGTAATAATGCAGTTTACAGACTCCTTACAATAATTGTTGAATAGTTAGTTCCAACATTAATTTATCTAATTCAGCATTGCCGATATCAGTATTTCCATTTCAACGTGTCGAAAAAATTACAATTTGCTTCAGCAATTCAGAACTAACGAAGTCTTTCAATATCAGATTGCTTTTTAAGGTTTTTCCTCAATAATTATCTTCTCTTTATTTTATCCTCGTTGCCAATGTGCTCGAGAGTGACTGTGATATCTGTAATGTGCAGGTCTATAATGTCTACCATGTCGTTGCCGACTATGGGTAGAAGTGTTATAATAATATCTCCGATAATAACCACCAAGAGATCGGTTCCACGTTTTACCATTCTGATACTCTTGGAAAGGGTTATAAACCGTGTTACTTCTTTCTTCGTACGTTCGATGATCTTTTGCTTTCTTCACTCGGCCACGATCTATTTCTTCGTCATCCGCGTTAAAATGGCGTTTACGTTCTCCCCGTCTATCATTATCAACTTCTCGGTCTAAATGCGTTCTATTGCCGTTCCAATTTGAAACTGTAAATATACAAGCATACATTGTACGATATATTCTGATTTATAAAGTCACAGTCGATACGTTACAATTTTTTTCTTTTTGCAATACAAATTAATATACGTGGTTTTTAATTAATTTTATATTACTATTTAATAGTTATGTTATAATACTTGATAATTTTCTTTTAATGGATTACACAGTGTATTTTGTTACAAACTCAACAAAATGGAATCGGTATGTATATTTTCATTAGGAATTTAGAAATGATTTATTGGCACTCAATCAATTCCACTTTCTGTTAAATATTATGAAATTACTTTAAGCGGGATTTTAAAACATTTGAGTTAGTACAATTTTTTTCTTTTTCTGAATTTATCCTATTGCTTTGTGCAATATTCTTTACGCATGGGTAGTATATTGAATCACGCATCAATGCACGATGAGTCGGTGAAGATTTCGTAGGAAAAAGTGTTGGGTTCAATTGGGGATTCTTCAATAATATTCTTTTTCTGTACTGACCCGTCGAACTGCCGTAACCACGATGAGACATCTTTAATAGATGTGAAACTGTTTCGGAACGATTCGTACCATTGAAATCTCTTAAAGCTGCAGCACTGGGTGTTGTGTTTTGGCTACTTCTATTAATATCCTCCCTATAAAAGTATTACAAGTTACATTATTTAATATTATAGTAAACGATCCACAAAATTAGAACGGAAATTTAACGAATAATTTCTTACTTGTCAGTAACAGACCAGCCATTGGGTGCTGCAGTTGATGCAGGAGAAGATGTGTCTTTTGAAACTTGCCATCCTTTCATGCTGCTAGTTGCCGCTTTTGTAACTACTTTCTCATCTTGACCAGCTTTCGTTCGGATAGACTGATGCCATTTACTTTTGCTACTACTGCTCTCTGTCTTACCATTCGCTTCTGTTTGACCATTTTGATATTTTGTCAAGCTTGTAACAGTACTACAACTAGAACCATTTTGTGTTTTCGAACACTGCATCACGTTAGTTTGATTTTGAGGAATACTACTACCATTTGTCTTTGATATAGATTTTTGCGTATCCTTTGAAATAAGAACTGTTTTAGGTGTACCACCCTTTACTGGAGATCCTTTTTGGATACCATTAGTACTACTAGGGGAAACATTTGTTTTTGATGTACAATTTGAATTTGTCTTATTTTTTAGTGATCCTACAACACTAATATCCTCTTCTTCGCTAGATCCGTCATAGGGAACCAAACTATTTCCATTTAAAACTTTTCCATTTTTAATTTGCATAATTAATCTTGGTTGAGCTTTATCTTGTAATTTTTGTGGCAATTGTGGCCCGATAAAATTTGTAACTGTTTGCGTGGAAAATTGTAGTCCTGTATTTTTATTTACCGATGCTTGGGAATTTGTCTCTGAATTTTCACTACCCTCTTTAGTAGTTGACAAGCCATTCGTCGATCCATTTAAAGCGATTAATCCAGACGTTGATGCTTTAGGACTTACAGTTCTATTCATAGGACTTTCAGATGAAGATAGTGTATTGTTAACAGTCAGTGTACCATTTAATTTAACAGTCTGTTGATTTTGAACCTGAGATTGTGTTGGTTGTTCCATTTCAAAAATCATTATATATGCATTTGTACTCAATACATTACTCAAATTAATTGGACGAACCTGTACGACAGATATTAAAAAAATAATTAGAAAATATTTGATGAAAAATGGTAAAAGATTAATGAAGAAAATAACAAGTAAAAAAATATTATTAGCACTTACACAAGAATCATCAAAGGAATAGTATTGGCCCGTTGAAACTTTGGCAACTGCAGTATAATGCCCACAATTAACTGATGGACCCATATGTGTAACTATTGACATAAGTTTATATGTAAGTGGCTGTATAGGTTCTCCTGGCTCTCTCCATAGATAAGGACCCATATCTATAGTTTGTTTGAAGCCTATATGTTTAGATATTTTCGCACCTAGAACACTAAACCTCTTTAATTGTACACAAAGTACTTTAGGAGGTCGTTCTAGGCTAAATTGTTTTGTCGCAGGAACTCTTCTCTTACAAGCTTCACATTTGTAATCATTGTTATCTAACTGTTCACGACTAAAATAACTACTTAATGCTTCATCCAAAGTACTTGCTTTGCGTATATCCACCAGTAAGTCCTATGGAAATTTATAAATACAGTTAACTTTTATCACATATACAAAGTGTCATGTAACTGGTAGTATAACCGGGTAAAGGAGTGATTCTACGTAAAAACAAGAATTTTTTCATTTGAGATTTCGTTTTCGAGAAAATCGATTTTGATATATTTTATATTGCGACTATATTTGCGACTTATTTTTTCACATAGAATCATCATTTACCCAGTTCTACCACTAGTTACATGACATCCTGTATATTGAATAATATAAAATATTTAGTTTGTATATCTATACCTGAAAATGCTGAAATGTAGTAGAAACATGTCGACATTGTAGGCACTTTACTTCAGTACGAATATAACCACCAAAAATTTGATTAATAGGAGTTGTTTCTTTAGAATAACTGTCTAATTTGCTAGCTTTGTGTCTTGCTAAATAAGCTTTCTCCATGCCTTCCAGTAAATAACGTAAAAATTCATGAGCATCTTCTTGTTGTCCTGGCACCATAGTTCGGCAAATGACTAATAAACAAATTAAATAGATATGTATAAAATAAATGAAAAACCATTAATATTACATGATACACAATACTCACGCTTTAATTTATTATATATATAGAATGGCTTAATAGCACAACCAGATTTCTGATGACTAAATTGTAAAGTCTTTGCCACTGCACATGTAAGGCACTCTCCACCTCCATCTAAAACTAACCTACTATCACAATATGATACAAAACTATGGAACTATTGTTTTAATCTATTTAGTTGAGTACTGCCATGTGTGTTATTAAAAAAATGTAATCATTTGAAACTTACCATTTTGTTCGCACTTCGATGTGTGGTGTGAATCTGATAATAACCAGTTAACAAGCGCCGGTACATGAAACAGTGCTTGAAGTGTGCTATTCAAATAACAAGTATTTCCAACATTGTTCATGCCAGCTCCAACTGGAAATGTGCCTTTCCACCCTAAACTGACTTTCTTTGAAGAATATAAAGTAATGGTTGGTTCTGGTAAACTGGGTCCTTTAGATAATCTTTCATTTCTCTTTAGATAATTTGCACCATCTTTTACTTTGTCTTCAGAATTTTCTGAGTTTGGTAGGCTTAATACAATATATTTGGCTTTAAGTTGATCCAAAATTGTTGTTTGATAATCATCTACTTCTTTGTATTGAATTTCTGATTGTAGAATCCTAGATGCACTACTGACTAAACTTGTAGATAAATCATCCGATGTCTTTGGTTGACTGGTCTCCAAAGCACAACGAAGTGTAGCCGCAACTGGATCACAAATGCTCACAGCAGGCATTATTACTATTTCTTATTTTCTGTCAAAACTTCCTTATTTATTATTCCTATAAAAAATTACAAAAAAAGCGATTCACTATATTGAAACAAGTATTTCATAAATAATAATGTTCAAGTCATTGTTTCCAATTCAAATTATATTTTAGTCCCTTTAATTACGAAGTTAATATTCTAAAAAATACAGACTTAATTTTGCAGTCAATGTTAATGTAATTTTTCATTTGTCAATCCTACTTATAATGTATGATATTCCGTATTATACAGCAAGCAAATAAATAACTTGTAATATTTGATTAAAAGTACAGGAAATCATATTAATTAATTTTAGTAAATAACAAACTAACTCGGTTTTTATAATTGTTAATCATTAAACTGCATTAAAATAAACAAATTTCGTTTATGTTAAAGTAATCATACATTTTTCGTCTTCAAACTCAAGATACGTATACGTTTGTGTGCATGCTAAGGATACAGAAATTCCGAGGATGCGAAGTGAAAGGGTTAATTCTACAACTAATTCATTTATAAAAGCACTATCAACGCCAAATCAATATTTCGATGCACAAACTGTTCGATATAAGAACAAAACAGTAGAATTACTCGAAGTCTGTTCAGTAATTACACAATATTACACTAAACCTGTAACGGAATACACAAGAAGCACGCGGCGTGCAATAGATACCGCGCGAACAGATTCATTGTTTACCTTCTCTTCGTGATTATATGCGTTACAGCCTCCACAAAGAATTTTTATCAATGATATTACAATACATTTCACATAATAAGCGAGATTTTCCAATCGTAAACACGTAGAATCACAGTGCTATTGATTTATTCGAAATTCCACGCGCTTAGGTGCCCCGAAACGGTTACCGGATGAGTTTAACTGAGGGCGCGTGTCTCCGGCCACGAGTCACTTTTTCCCGCGTACTTTGTCACACTTACCTAACTTTCGTCTGGACACTTACGTTAATGATAACGTTAATTTCAATTAAAAAACACTGTTAAAAATACCACGCGTCACTAATGCACGACATTTTTGGAACTTTTAGTTTTGGACATGTGAAATCAAGGCCCATCCTCTATCGTGATGTCAGCCATTTGCAATTATATCGGTGGCCATTAAACTTTTTCCGTTGAGTTTCACGATCCGATCAGGGGCGCCTAAAATGTGTAATCTAGTTTTCATGTCAATGAACGTGTGGCAGCGATAATAGCGACACCTATAGTCGTTACGACGTACAGAAAGGAAATTCTGAGAATGCTACAACCCAGTTAACGAAGACATCTGAAAAAAGTAATTGAAAAGATATCTGAAAAAAATTACCCGTGGGATGTCATTCAAATAACGTCAAATACGTATTAAACAGGGTCGTATACACAGGTCCACAAACTCCCGTGGTGGGGTTGATCCCTTAAAGACGCCAAGTATACTTTCGAATTGTGCCACGATGCCAGGGCACGACGGTCTTATAGTCAGTCATAGACCCAGGAATGAAACCTTGCTCTCAGTCTTTTAATTCCTAGGTTCATGGCATAGACCATAGACATATATAATAGACTGCGCGGTCTTATGGTAGGGATGAAGACGGCACTAGAAAGAGAGGACACTCACTGGAGTAACTTTCCTCTCTTTCTAATGGGGCTGTGGTGAAGAATTCTCTTACGGCTGTGTGGATGCATTTCATGCGTGCAGCATTCCTTCTCCCCATCGCCACCAGTCGCTTTCTCCCCTCCCATTGCGATGTGCGAACGAGAGAGGAATGACTCCATCGTTACCTCTGTCCTTCGGTCTCGCTTCATCCCTACCATAAGACCGCACAGTCTATTATATATGTCTATGGTCTATGCATTTGCCGTACAATAGAAAAAATGGACGTTTATAGTCAGGGATCCTAACGGTGTTTGGCATGAAGCGCCACTATCGTTCAACCGGTGTACTATATCCCCAGGTGGTGCTGACAGCAGTTATCTGTGATTCTGATTGTGCATACGTATATGTCGTTTTTGAGTCTATTCTATACGTGTCATTTATCGCAAATGTCGTAAATACAAATATTAATTATTTCAACGTTTAAACAATTAAAGTAGAAAAACTTTTTAAAAATAAGTAAAAATGTAATATTGTAGGTGTATATAATAGTAAACACGAAGTATAATCTCAAATTAACTTTTATTAAAGAAAGAATGAAAAACGCAAAAATGTAGTGTTTTGTAGTGTGCAACTGTAATATTGGAAATACAGCTGTGAAGAGATTAGAACCGCATTAATTGGTCTACAATAAAAAAATGAAAATTTTTTAATCAAGTAAATAAATATGTTTATGATAAGACTAATAACAATACATCTGATGTAGATATGGCAAGTTGCAGTACTGTGTATACAAATGAGACTGAAAATCTTTATGAAAAAAATATTAATATCAATAAATGTAAAGCTATCAGTAGTAACAAAATTAATTATTTTGCAACATCACTCAGAACCTCTACAGTTTCTTTTATTGTACTAAAGTTTAAAGAGTCTGAAAGAGGTTTTTCGCCACTTGTAAGATATAACATTGGCCATGGCCACAACAGTTTTACTATTAACTGTAGAATTTTTCCACCCATCAATTAGTAATACTCAATCTTGTGATTCATCTTACCTTGTAGATTAACAAGTTCATCATATTGTGCATCCGAAATTGTTGTTGCCAGTGCCTTTCTTGTAGGAGGCTAATATTGATCATTTAGTGCATTAATACATGCTTTAAAATGTTTTGAATCAATTACGCTAAAAGAGATATTACAATAAAAAGACAAATTTTTTCAAGTAATGATCAATCTTACTTCATCTTAAATAAAAATAAACTTTTTATTAACATAATTTTCAATCTAAACAAATTATATTTATTATTCTGTACCAATTTTTGGAACCTTTTAACATCCATTTTTCATCAGTGTAACCGAACTTAATTTAATTGTTTTTAATCAGAATTAAAATTATTAATAAATTGACACTTCTTAATAACCTATACGAAAAATGTTTTATAGGTTAGAAACACGTTATAGATATTTTCATTCCAGATATAAGACATTTACGACACGTGTCACGTATAAAATAAAAAAGTCGCATATTTATCCACCTCTGGTGCTGGCCAAAGTTATTCGAAGGTTTATTCGAAGCCTACGAATAAAACCTCAAATAAAAATTTTATTCGACGCTTACGAATAAAACCTCGAATAGAAATTTTAGTCGTTGCTACCTATAATTGAGAAAACGTTACTTTTTCTTTAAATGGAAGACAGTCAGCATTATATGTAGGTTACAGAAATTCAAAAATTGAAATGATTATAAAATGATATATATATATATGATAGATAATGATATATAATGATTATAAAATAATATTATAAATATAACTGACTAATCACACGATAAAATTAAATGGTATCGAATGAAGCATACCATGGAACTAAGTGTATGCATTTTTATACATTGATGCCAATGAAAAATGCAATCGCACCCTTTATTTAAATGAAACTCTATACTTTTAGCTGGACTAGTCAATGCAATTTTTCGGTCTCTACAAAAAAATATTAAAATACTCATTAGTCTTAAAACTATTAGTTTGGAAGTTATGATTTTAAGTTTTGGAAGCTATGATTTTCTGTTTGCGTTCTCAGTACGGGAAGCGCGAAGCGCTAAGCGCACAACACCAAACGACTACACTGCGCATAAACAAGTGAAAC